TCTTGAGTAGTCAGCACCAAAAATGACCTATAGTTATTGTTTAATGGGTAGCAAGAGAAAGAGGCTTAATGGGCATAGTTAAGGTGTTGAAATTTGTTTTTGAAAAGGATGCTTTAAACCCCAACCCACCACTTAATAAAATAAGTTGTTACTATAGCAACCATTGCGTCATTCTTGATCTTCAGAGAATGCACTTTACATAATGGCATTCATTGTAGATTTTTGTGTTGTTTGGAGAAATTGGGAAATAAATGGATACACTTTTCAGCAATTTGCCATGTTATGCTCAAATATAAGTATATTTTTTAAAGGGGAAAAAGCAACCATGTAATTCCATTTTCTTTTTTTACCTTTTTATAAAAACTTGTTCATAAATGACTAGGTTCCACTTAAATTGACACACTACTTTAATATATTTAAACCAGTGAATTGTATGCTATGTGAGTTATCTGTCAGACTGTTGAAAAATAAACACTAATATGTTAACTCCTCAGTGATGTTTATACTTACTTATTATTTCTCACATGTTTAAGCATGTCTTCTCAACCTTGCCTACTAACCAAAGGGCACTTGCTTATGATACAGGAATTGGTAGCTGGAAATTAGCATTGCTTGAAAAGATACATGTCAATAAGAAACAAATGGGCATGCTTCTGGGCAATCTGCAAACAACAGAATGAGATTGCTTTTCAGGCATGTAAATGCTCTGCATTCCACCAATGATCTAGACTTCTCTAGGCTTTAGTCAAGTGAATACAAAAACCCTATCAGTGAAATAACAGAGGAAAGGATCCTATTGAACACCACGCTCTTTCTAAAAGCCAATTAAGGGTATGGCTATGTACATAGTCAAAAAATTCTTAAATTTACTTTTCCTTTGTATTGTTTTAATATTAGTAATCACCAATCTATGAACATATTCTACAAGTTCATTTGAAAGTTAGTTGTCATGAGACAGTAATATAATTCTGAGTGCTAAGTGAGTCTACAAAAGTATCTTCAGTCTGTTTCATACCTGAACTATCTATGCAGACTAATAACTATGAAATAGTCCTACCTGGAAATGCAGGGACAATTCCCGCTTAGAATCTTGGAATGCTAGACTAAAAGAAACCTGAACTTTTATCAGTGATCCCCAGACATACCGATCAGTGGAATCATCTGAGTCTCTGAGAAAATTCCTGTACCCTGACTCCGCTACATTTTGAGTCCCTTCCATTAGAACATGGAAATTTGCTAGCCACATTTGGAGTAGCGATCTGAACTAGCTCTTTCATGTTACATATCAATAAACGCAGTCTCAAAAAGTTGAAATGACTTGCTTGAATTTTGGATGGGGTGAAGAGTCCTTTTCCAATTCCAAAACCATATATCGGTGGCTCCAAGGGTTAGTACAATGGAAGGGAAAGCGAGGAACAGGTAGTTCTCTAATTTGTGCTAAGGAGGACAATATAAACTGGTGCTCAATTGGGTACATACGATTAGCTCAGTTGGAATTTTGTGAGGTTTGGGTTTGTGTAGGGAGAAATGACAGGAAATAAGTTGGAATGGATGAAAAGGCAAAGCATTCATCGGAATAGTAAGAAGTGGGGACTAGATAATGAGTTTGGAGCTTATCTTATCCCTGGTAGTGGAATTGATGGGAAGTGGGAAGAAGAATGACAAATAGGCCCTGCTGCTGTAGTAGTCAAAGATTGCTCTTAAACTCTCTCTGCTATAGTCCAGCTCCTGTTTTTGATGGTGATGAGTAGGCTTGGAATGGTGGATAGGGTTGTGCAGATAGGCTTTGTGTACTCTCTTACCACCTTTTTCTACTCCATTTTATTGTGTTCCTGGGTCACCACTTAGAGACCTTGTGTCAATTTGTCTAGGGTAAAGTGAGAATTGGTGATAAAGATCACCATTCCAAAGACTATTGTTATCTGAAGTAGTTGCTAGTGATAAGGAAATGCCTTGAGGTGATAAGGAGGGACTTTTGGTGTCAGCCATTTATAGATAGAAGATAGATTTTTAGGTTGAGTTTATAAATATGTGCCTGTATTTACATAACTTAAAAAATTTAACCTCCACATAAACCAAAAATATTGTGGATATATCATGAGTTACAGACATCTTTTTAATAAGAAATAGCTAATTTTGCTTCCCAAACAGGTATTTCATTGTTTAGACAGGTTTGCTTGATAAGTACATGTCTAATGGAGAATTGTAGTGAGCCATGTGTATTCTCATTTGTCTTTGTATGGTTCTTTTTCTCAGAATCTTATATGTATAATTATTATGCTTCACATTTATTTTGACCATGCTTATTTTTTTAAATCATTTTATTGGGGGCTCATACAACTCTTACCACAATCCATACATACATCAATGGTGTCAAGCACATTTGTACATTTGTTGCCCTCATCATTCTCAAAACATTTGCTCTCCACTTAAGCCCCCGGCATCAGCTCCTCATCGCCCCCTCACTGCTCCCTCTCCCTCATGAACCCTTGATAATTTATAAATTATTATTATTTTGTCATGTCTTTTATACTTTAAAGTATTCATGTAAAAGCCCTGAAGATTAAAGTGTACAGCTATCAGCAGTAAAAGTACAACTTCCATTCCATATTTAACCTATTTTTTGAATGTCTAGTAAATTTGAACAATTCAGTCCCTAAATTTACTTACGGCACAGTGGTTAAAGTGCTTGGCTGCCAAACAAAACGTTGACCGTTCCAACCTATCAGCCACTCTTTAAGAACAATCTGGCAGTCTTTATCCATAAAGATTTTTGTCATTGGAAACCCTTTAGGGCCAATTCTACTTAATCCTCTGAGTTGAAATCATGATTGTTTTATTTTGTTTTTATATGCCAAGACAGATTAAACATTCATTACCCAAATCCTTGCTGTTCATACATCATGAACCTAAGAGAAATAAAAATGTATTCTAAATAGTTAATAGTGTAGCAAAGCTATGGGATTACAGGTGATCTTTATTATACTTTTCTACCTTTTTAAAAGTCATTGTTAGTAGCAATGATAAAATAAAAGCTGTGAACAGATTATAAAAACAAATTACTGATAATGAAGCAGAAAAGGAAGCGTAGGATAAGTTAATTTTATAGACTGAGTTTACAAAAGTCAGTGTTACAGAGGTTATTGTGAACAATATTTTGGATAACACTTTCTTAGATTGGGTTCTTTAAAGAAGCAAAACCAGTCCAGTGTGCATGTAAACATAGTGCATAGATAGAAATATATCATGAAGACCTAGTCTACACCCACCTAGACGCTGCCAGGTTGATTCTGACTCCTGTGCTGGGGGCCCTGAGTCAGTTTCCGAGATGGGAAATCTTTACAGGAGCAGATGGACGCATCTTCCCCACAGAGCAGCTCGTGGTTTGAAACACCAGTGGTTTGTTTAGCTAACATGGTCCCCACAGCAGTTCCAGGACTTTATATAGTTTTTAGAGAGAGGGAGATTTATTTCAAGGAAATGGCTTATCTATATGTGCAGGCTGGCAAATCTCAAATCTGTTGGTCAGGTGTCAGGCTAATGGCGCAATGGCTTACGAACCCAGAAGTCACAGATCAGATGGCAGCCTCCTGACTCATCCCAAGGATTAGATGTCAGGATGATGAGTCAGATGCCGAGTGATTGCCAGGACATCCATAGAGGATACAGGCTACACCCTCAAGAAGGAAAATTGAATTTTAATTGACTGGATTTTTAATTGATTGCTCACATTAGTTCACAAAGTGAACTAGGGAGGATAATTACATTATACTGTGGAAGAGCAATCAAGCCAAAATCTGCCAAACTACTGAGAATCATATTTTAGTCAAGTTGGCCCTTAATATTAACCATCACAGTTCACCCCTTGCCCATTTATCACCTGTACGTATCCCTTTAAACTACACGTAATCTCTATGTAAAGATTATATGTACATAATCTATATTGTGAAGTCATACACCAAACCTGATAACAATTAACTAATGTGAACACAACTGGCGACGTACTAGCATAGGGTCATTTTCCTCATATTTCATAAGTAATGACATAAGGAAGAGATAAAACCAAAATATTTCCTATACAAACATACGTGTTATGTGTTGCCTAGTTCTGTGAAATCACATTGTGCGAGCAGCACCATGTTAAAATCTTATAGGAATCTTCTTCTGGTTGTCCTCATTGCTGTTGCTGTTGTTGCTGGAGCTGTTACAGAAGGCAGAAGAATGGGTGCCAATAGCAGCAGCACCTGTGCGGCAGTGGCGGAAGTGGAGCAAGAGGACAAGAATGAGGAGGAAACAGAGTGCACCAGCCTTGCCCACTGTTTGGTTCTCCTGAGCAGCAGGATGAACCCCCTCCACCAACTGCCTGCCATCAAACAAGCCTGAGTTTGCATCCACAGCCATATTCTGTCTTGGTAGCCTGTAGCCCACTTCCTCAGGAGTGTGGGGTTGAGGTCTCTAAAACCTTTAGGAGAACGGGTTTCCCTTAATGGGAAAAAAACTAAAAAGCTTCAGTGCTATATACTTTGTGTGCATATAGATGCATCTTAAGGAGCTTCAAAAGGTTCGTAGAAAAATTCTGTTGTTTTTAATTTTATTTTTTCCTGAACTATTTGAAGCTTTCTATGATATATGTACACACAAATAAAATAAGGGAGAAACATTTATAATAGTCCTTGGTTTTACATATGTATATATCAGGTGTTTTACGTGTTAATTTAAATATTTATAACAACCCTGTAGTTGGTCACATGATCGTGACTCCTATTTAGAACTACATTTCCCACCACCCCTTCTTATCCCCTTTGCCTTTACAAGCATGACATGGTTCTTTGTGTGAAGTGTCTGAGCCTTTAATAGACCTGTTGGAGTTGGGATGCTGTACTATCAAATCACAGGACATGATAGTACTAAGGGATGTCCTGTATTCCAGACATACTGTTCTTCACATTTATTAGGAAATCCAATTTCCCCTCAGTAATAGAGATCAGTCCCAGCAGCCAGTATAGCTCCCTACATTTCCTGTTGATTCAGAAAGCATGAGGAGCCCGAAGTCCAGTGGACTCAGTGTTGCCTTTCCAGGTGGGAGCAGTCTTCTCTTTAAACCATAGGGTCACAGGGACAGGAAGCAAAGATTTGGTGAGTGGGTTACCAGAGGCAATAATGAATAATGCCACTCCATTTCTATCCCTTGGTTTTTGGATCCATGAATAGTAGGTATGGGGATATAGATATCTCTCACCATACATTGGATGGGGGGGTGTTTCAAAAATTTGTAGGAGAAGTCCATTACTTTTGCATTTTCAAAAAATTTTGAACTCCTTTATACATCCGCTTGGAGCATACTGCCCTAAACCCTGCAAGGTATTGTCACCTAGCTGGCCCTGTAAGTTGGCTTTAGAAGGCCATTCCATTTTAGCAACCAGCTGCTTCAAGAGAATGGGGGATATGGTCCAAAAATGCAAACCCACTGTTATCAAATTGCTTCTAACTCATGACAGCCTTCAATAGGGGTCCTGACGCAGTCAAGCTGTACAGAAGCAGATCACCTCAACTTTTCCCCAGGCAGCAGCTTAGTGTATTTGAACCATCAGCTGCAGTCCAACAATTAGCCAATCGCACCATGAGAAGGATGGTACGACCAGTGAATTCCATGATCATGGGCCATTCTACATTTCATTTGCCATGAAATTAGTCCTTTGGTCCGAAGTGATGCTATGTGGGATATCAGTGTGAGGTAACACATTCTATGAGTCCCTGGATAATAGTTCTGGCAGTTACATTGCATGAAGAAAAGGCACATTTTTATTCCAAGTGTCTAGTCAGAACAAAATGCCCTTTCAATGACCATAATCAACCTACTTCCAGGACGTTGGCTGATTGCTTCAAAGAATGGTGCCATATTGGGGATTTGGTTTTGGTCTCTGCTGATGGCAGGTTGGATACTCAGCAGTGGCTGTAGCCACTGCAGCCTTAGTAAGTAGAAGTCTGTTGCTGACCCCAGGCACAACCCTCAACTTTCACTCTGACTACTGAAAGGAGTCAGCGGGAAGGAGGATGAGTGGTGAATCACCAGGTACTCTGAAACTGCCTACTAAGGCGATTTCTCTTGTCCGACAGGGAAGTGTCAGGGCCTGCAGTGTTCCTGCTCTCCACTTCTGAGTGGTGCCTGTGTATTACCAGACCATCTGTAAATTAGACACATACTTTCTCTTCCTCATTCACCTAGGCGTAAGGAATTCTCCACAAAGCCATATATGCTGATTGGGAGAAGGAAAGTAATGTGATCAGAGTGGAGAACTTGGCATTTAGGCTGCTTTCTTGTGATTTCAGATCCTGCGCAAGCCTGATGCCATACCACTTACGTTTAATGACGGAGTGCTGGTGTATGTCCGACTTAAGTCAGACAGTACTTAGTTCATCACGGTAGGCAGCTTGGGCCAAATGGCCTCTTGTGGTTCCTGGTTAAGTAGTCGGTCTCTGTTTAGGCCCAATTATGAGTCAGAATCTTTCTTAGAAGGAAGTATCTATTCGCAGAGAATGTCTGGACTTTGTTCTAAAATCCTAAGAGTCTGTGCTGTGATTCACAAAAAGGTGCCTGGCAAAATCACCTGATAAATTAGTCTGAGTAACACATACATATGAATGATAGGTAACCCTCAAAATCCAAAGAGACCCACCAGACCTTATACCTCCTTTTTATTTGGGGGAGGGGTCAGGTAAAGTAATTTGGCCTTCATTTTAGTTAGGAATATCTCCATATGCCTTACACCACTGGACTCATAGACATTTCACAGAGATGGAAGGCACCTTGGATTTTTTCAGGTCCATTTTGCACCCTTGAGTATGCCGATGTTTTACCAATAAGCCTAGAGTCATTGGTACTTATGCCATACTAGGTATGGTCAGCAAATGTTACCAGTGCAATAGCACAGTGTCACATCTCACGTAAAGAAAAATAATCATGATTCCAGCAGGCTAAATTACACTGTCCTGGTGGAAAGTTAATAGACCCCTGAAGTGGAATGTATTACTGGCCTTGCCAGCTGAAGGCAAACTGCTTACAGTTTGAAACTGGAATTGAAAAACTGGAATTGACATTGGCCAGATCGATAGCTATATACCAAGTACCAGGAGATGTATTACTTTGCTCGAGCAATGAAACCACATTTGCAACAGCATCTTCAATTAGCTAAATTTACAATAATCCACTGTCATTTTCCAAGATCCATCTGTTTTTTGTACAGGCCAAACAGGCAAGTTAAATGCGGATGTAGTATAAATCACACCACCCCTGTATCCGTCAAATCCTTGAGTCCCACCAGGAATGTAGAATTGCCTTTGGACTATATTTTTTCCTAGACAGTCCTGATGGCTTACACTTGTCTTTTACTATCATAATGACCCTAATTCCCCATGTTAATACAGGAGTTTTCCCCGTTACTGAGTATGTCTATTTTAGTTATGGAACTGGGGAAATGACTTCAGGGTAGATTTGGGAACCCACTGTAAGATGAACCTGAGATAAGACCACTAGCCCACCGGGGCACCTTACACACTACCAAGGTTCCTTACAATAATATATATACAATGTAAAACATATGTAACAATGTAACGTGCATAAGTATAAGCTAGAGAGATTTGTTTTAAGGGAATAGCTCACAGTTTTAAGGCTGCAAAGTTATCATAGGGTGAGCTAGAATAGCTAAGAATATATTCACTCAGTATTATTCTCTAGCAAGTGCCTAAAACAAGCAAATTGTGTGGGAGGGGACAACTGTTAAAGATAATTTTACACTAAAACAAAAGGGCATAAAACCGAAAAAGTAATGTCATTGTAATGCTTTTCCTAAAACAAAATCTTAATTTTTTTAATGAAAGCAACAGAATTTTAAATTGACATTTTCCTTTTGCCCCCCTCCCTTTTCCATGACCCTTCAACACAACTGCTTTAAAATATTGATTACCTTCTTGACCCCAAGAAACCTTTAACAAATTCTCTTTGTTTTATTCTTAAGTGAGATTTTACTGTTTTCTTTTTATGTTCACGGTAATCAGCACTCATTCAGATTTAGAGTCAAAGTGCTACTCTTTTGTGTGGAACTTTGAACTGGTTCATTCTTTGAGGCTTGAACCCCCTGCTGAGGAACTGCCTTTCAATTCCTTATGTGTTGACTCAGAATCTGCATTTTAACAAGATCCCCTAGTGATCTTAAAGATTCAGAGCTCACCATCCCCAGCTTCCTGGTTACAGATATCACTTGCTTTCTGTGGAAGTTCACCACTTGGTTTGTGAACGAGCTACATTAGTATCTGTTTTCACTCACCAAAAGAAACCTGAAGACTTTCGCTTTTACAAAAAGCAGAACTAGCTCTCAGTATTTGTTTCTCAGGGAGTTGTTAGAGAGGCAGCCAGTACCCTGAGCATCATTGAGAGTTGTGTGGCCCAGCCCCTTGCCCAGGCACTGCTACATTCAGCATCTCAGCCTCACGCCACCAGAGCATTGAACGGTGTCTGTAAACACTGTATACAGTATTACAGGTAGCTTTTATGCGTTATTTGGTACTATTTGGTAGGTTACTTTTTGGGTCTGAGGAGACTCAAACTTTTTTCCCTTACAAGTTAGTGTTACTTGCTACCTTGCTTCATACTATTTCAACTTACAAATGGCTTCCTAGGAACACACTGCTTCCAGTTAACTGTAGTACATAGGGGCTGTATCTACATTCATCAGAATGCATAAGAGTAACCCGGGTATCTTAATAAAATGTAGATTCCAATTCAATTTATCTGGGGTGGACATGTAAATTCCCAGCAGAAGTCAAACCAGAGTGAACGGGTTCAAGACTGCTTTTATGTTGTCCTTATCGGCCAGTGGCAAAATAAGTATAGTGAAATTTGTCCACAGAAAGATTTGTTAAATCTGTCCTAGGACCATTTGAACTACCATTCCCACAGAACATAAAATTACACAAATGTGCTTTACACAATTGATGTATGTATGGATTGTGATAAGAGTTCTATGAGCCCCTAATAAAATGATTTTTTTAAAAGTTACTTTTAAGGAATTAAATTTAAAAACAGGATGGAAACTAAATTTCCTCAGATAAACATTTGAATAACAAATATTAATAGGCAAGGAAATAAAATTTAAGTATGTATCAAAGAAATATCTCGAAAGCCCCAATCCATTTGCAAAGTCCCTCCTTGAACCCTTCCACACCAGTGACGTAAGGTGTGAGTCATCTTGCGCTCAGAGTTGATTACTGCAGAAGGTTAGGTTAAAATGTAACAGATTGTCCTTTGTTATCCTTTTTGAC